GTAGGGAAATGTTCCTTAGATGTGAACACTGAACTCGCTTGTGACTCAGGGTGCTCCGTAAATAGAGCACACGCTGATGCTGTATGTCAGCAGATGCAGATCATCTCCCTTTTTCATTATGCTATGTCAAAGCATCATGGCAAGATTTGTCACTTCTTGCAGGACTTTCCTGCTTGCTCTTTTAAAGGAGAGATCAAGAACCCATGCTTGTGCTATCTTTAATTCTAGATTAAATACAGGTAATGACTAAATAAGAAGAGTAAGGAGTTAATTCCAGGTAGCTAAAAAAGTTGAGGGATTTTTCGTCAGGCTGTTCAAAACCAGTTTTGTTTTTCCCTTTTCTTTCCAATATTTTATTTTAATGAGAGCTTCACCTTCTGAAGAGAGGTCATCTGAAAAGATTCAGGTACTCCACCCTCTCCAATTAGCATCTTGCTCATCAGAAAATTCGTTCTGAACTTGCCAGCAGATTCCTTCAAGAAAACCAGGGAAGATAATGACATTTCTGAAGAAAAAACCTTCAGACTTGAGAAAAAAGTGACAATCACGAGGAGGGAAACACCCACTTGGAATATTAAAAGAACGTTTGCAGGCCATATTTAGAGCAGGTTAATCTTTATGCTACAGGAAATAACAGCATCCTTCTGCATGCTACTGCATATTTCAAAGTGTGCAACTACTTAATCTGTTAAATGCCAAGTAGCATTTTTCCACCAGTATAAACATATTCATTGTTTCCTTCTCTGGAAACGGCAATCGCAATAGATAATCCAATGAAATATAGCAGCCTAGGTCTCACTTTCAAACTGCTGGGGCACCTGCGTTGCTACGGGACGCAGCCACTGCATTATTCCAGTTTGCTGAGGTACTGACAGCAATCTAACCAGCCTAACCCAGCTCCGCACCTGCCCCTCTACCTGCTTCTCAGCTGCAGCAGAAGTAACTGCAGGGCTGACGTAACCCAGCCGATTATTATAAGCAGCTTCGCTAAGACCATCTCTTCACTCTGACTTCACTGTTCTGACATGTGACGAATGCGTTATAGACCCTTCTTCCTCTTAACTAAAGGATCACCTGCAAGCTCAGACTCAGTTGTGAATGGGAAGGCCCGAGTGCTTGTTAAAGCCTTTGGAACAATTTTCTTCTATTAAGAAGACACAGGAGTACCAGTGTGTACTTTGATAGTTTCTTTTCATTAGTATAATTACAATACATTCTGGACAGTTACAAAATCCGGGGAATCACGTTTTCTCCATAAATTTCTGCTGCAAACTTCAAACATTTGGGTGCCTTTCCATTACTTCTGCATACTTTTCCTATAATCTTAGAAAGGACAACCGGTACAGCAACCCTTTTTTTTTGTTTGTTTCAGCAGCTTTTAGTTCTGCTTTGTGCCTCAGGCTTTGATGTCCACCTTGAATGCTGGTTTAGCTGCTTAGTTAAAAGCCTGCAGCTAGTCTCTCTCATGTTACACCAATTCAATAGAGGACATTTCCAACAGGACAGTTTAGAAAAGGTATATATGCAAAATGATTTCTGGGTCACTCAAAGCAACAGCATTTAGTGTATTTCTAAAGCCAAATCCTGGTCTAGATCAGAAGGAATTCCAGTGAAGTCAGTCAAGTATTTAAACTTTCAATTTAGGAGAAGAATTTGGCTCCACAGAAACTGAAAGCATTGTTCAAAGATAGCAGTTTTCTCAAATAAAAAATACCGCCCTTATTACGAGCCACCTGGCATTCTCAAGACAAGAAACACTCTCCTGCATAGCACTGTTAAAATGTAAAAAACATCAGCTACCGAACCTAAAAACGTTTCCAACCCACTTCCCATAAACTTTAAGTACATTGTACTTAGCTGCTTCAAAACCTCTTTGCATCAGCAGGCGTGGCTGCATATAGTTTCCACGTACAGGCCGCTGAGTTACATGATCTTGTACGTAGGAGCCGAACAGCACACGTGCTCATTTCTAGAAAGTCGGTCCACCGACATTCTGGCCCAGAGAAACGCGTGCCCTACCTCTTCCGCCCCAGGGACAAGCGATATGGCTCTGACCATAGGAGCATACTGCAAACTAGCGAAGCGTTTAAATAGTTGGCAAAAGTGTTGAAAGGCACATAGCTTGTCCTTAGCAATATTTCCCTGTTCCACTTGTGGGGCCCATTGAGGAATCAGTGTTGGGACCTAGCTTGAAATAAAAAAAATAGTAAGAAAATGGAAGCCTCCCAGGAAAAAAAACATCAGGTTGCCTTTTTTTTTTTTTTTGAGCTTTAAGATTTTACTATTGCGTGTTTTCCTCTACCTTTCCAGTGAAAATTAAGGAAGCTATGGATGCATGTTAACCATACGTATGGAATTACTACTACTGGAATACCAAATGGTAGAGCTGCTGTAAACTGTTGCGAGTACTAAAAGCAATGCTTATAATGGTCTGTACAGCATTTGCAAATACTTACTTTGAAAAGAGATTAGTGCAGTTCTTAGTTTTCTCAGCATTGCTTAGAAACACTAAAAAAACTACAACAGCTAACTGCTACTCTACACCAGATCGATATACCCCAACAGATATTTAGGAATATATGCCATTATATTTAAAAATACCAAGTTCCTCTAAGCTGGTAAACCTAGAAGATTTTACATAGAGTTAGAGATAAAATATTAAAAATTCTTGTTTCAATTCCACACACTTGACATCTGAATAGGAGCGATGTAATCATACTATTTATTCCATCAGTGCGACAAAATGCTGTATGGAACTAAATTTCTGAGATTTTAAATAGAAAGTCATTTAACTCATATATACACAAAGTGTTCTTTCCACAGATATTTACATGGCAAATATGTTAGAGGAGAACCACTATGACTACATCTCTACACGTATAGCATCCTTTCTGAGCTATTCTCTCTGCTGAAAGAATTCACAGAAGCTTTGAAGTAAAATCTAGACAATTAAAGTTACCTATATTTCACAGTAGGTAAAGAAGCCATTAAATGATATTTCAGCATAAGGTTTCTGGAAACAGCTACACAGTAGAGTTTTACATCCACCCTTCTTTTCCAGCATTCATGGTGAAACTAAATCTCTTCTTAATTTACAAGAGAGATAACAGCATATGTAAAGATGTACGTGTATAATTGCAGTTCATCCTCCTCGATAGAGGCTGGTCAGCCGTTCTAGTTCTTTGCAGTTGTCCATGGACATGGAGTCTGCTTTCTTTCGGAGACGGTCATCTCGATATACTTTTGCTGCATAAAGTAAGTCTGTTTCTTTAATGAAAAAAAAGAGAAAAGATTGTTCAGGCTAAAAACTGAATATGTCGCACATGATACATTCCTTCTCAGATCTGTCCAAAACACCTCAGGTTTAAGCCTTGCCCTTTTTTTCCCGTCTGTCTATTCTAACTACCCACAGACACCACCTAAACAGCACTGCTACAGCTTCCCTTTGCTGGATCTTGACAAGCATTTTGTCTTTTTGGGCAGGGGAAGTGGTAACAGCCTTCCAGCACCCTCATGTTTCATACCGCGGTACCTGATTAAAAACAAACCAACCAACCAACCCCTACTACTTCTGTCAGACCTCATTAAACACTACAAATATAGGCCACACTCAGTGATCTTGCATATTATTGACAGCTCTAGTGTCTTGTCTGTGCCCAAAAATCCATCCTGAATGTTAAGCCCATTACTTCAACTGATGCTGCTCCAGACTGCCAGCGTTCAGAGGTATTAATAAAAGAGCTCTCTGTATTATACTGGTGTTCAATAGCTTGACATTGCTGAGCATTTTAATTCTCTAAAATCTTTTCCAGCCCTTCAACTCAAAATGGATTACCGAGGCATTCTTAAATGTTAATCAACGCTGGAAAGATTTTAACTGTCAAGGAGATCCAACACACAACAGGTATTTTGAATCCTTAAAACCACAATATCAACTGTTTCTAGAGAAAATCTATTAGGGGACGCTTTCTCAAAATTAATTTGGGTAGTTTTCACAACCTGATACATTGCAAATAGCAAACAACATGATAGTCACCACCTTCAAGTTATTTTTCTTCTTTATACTAGGGTGAGATGTTTCTCTAGTCATCACATTTTTCCCAGTAAATATGTACATATGGAATTGTGGGCCTCTTTGCATTGTCCAAGACTCTGTTCATCCTTAAAAAAGTAAGCATGTCAAGAATAAATGCTGAAAAATGGGAAAGGTACTCTTTCTCCTCTTTGCTTCCCCGGGTGGAAATTGCGTATCAACATTTTCAAAGATATTTAGACAGTAAATACATGACAGGAGACACAAATATAACATGCCAGTAAACCTAAGTGTAATGACTACATCAATAAAAGCAAACTATCCTTCCACATCTACACTCCGCTGAAAAAATGTACCAATAATATGTCCTCTTTTTATTGTGCTGGATTGTATCTTATCTTTAATTTTTTGTTAACAACCATGATCATTTTTGTAAATATTTTATTATAAGTTTACCAATCATTCATCTAGCAACTGCTTGTAGATGAAAAATGAGGTATTCATTTCATGAAGAGCAAACATATTCAAACATTTCAAGATGATCAAAGGACAACCTAGCTGGAAAAATACAAGAGTTTTTTATATTTGCTTATGAATTATACCCAAAAATTCTCTGATGCTTTCCTCTATTTGAAAAATCTGGGAAAAATTATTCTGATCAAATCTCATACTCTGGGCAATGATCTGAGTGTTTTCCCCCAAAGTACTGGTGTTTCTCTTGCAAACCTGTGGCCCATCAGCACAGCTTTCTGCCCACAGTTCTTTCCTGTGGGCGATTTGTAAAACTGTGGAGATTTACTTACATGTAAGCAATGTGTACTCATGAGTAAGGAGCGTAAAGCCTCCAGGAAGCATTGGGCCTACTATGTATGGGCAATGCAGTTTGTATTTGTATATGTACGCGCCAACTGTAATGAAGGTATGCAGTCCTATTCAGGCATTTGACTAGCTGTGATGGCGGGGCTGTCTTTCACAACTGGGAGAAGCTAAGGGGCCATCCCAGCTGAAAGGTGTGGCACCACTGGACTGCAGAGGGTAAAGTTGTGCAGCAACACCCGATTTCACTCAGAGAAGAGCATTCTGTTTGCTTCTGGTCAGTTTACTGACAGTTCATGAACGAATTATTTATCCGGTAAGCTATTACTGAAGTTTACCAGCTGAAAAGTTGAAACCATCTGGTTTCAACACTGATGTCATTTTAGCAGCGCTGTTCTCACAGAGCATGAAAGGCTCATGAAATGGTCACAGATAATAGAATAACAGGTTAAAATTGACGATGATTTGGAGATGGACGATGCTATTCAGTATTCTTATGCTTTAACACTGAATTCTAGGCTTTTGAAAGAAAAAAGCTCCTTGTAGAATATTAAATTAGATTGGAAAAATAGATGTTAAACCAAAAAAACCCATCTGTTTTCAAGGTCTGATATAGCCAAGCTACCAAGTCCAGGGAGAAAAATTATTCAGCATTGGCAAAAGATCAAGCACTGATTTACAGCTTATGATGTTTTACAGGACATGCTGCATGTCCCTGGTCACCTGGAAAAGCAGTGTTTGTATGCACTGTGGTCCAAGACAGATTATTTTTTTCCTTCTCTGGAAACACCTATATAAGTTTTTGGTTTATTTATTTATTTATTTACATAAAAGCACCTAAGGAAATGAGATATTGCCATGATAAAATAATGTGAAAGAGATTAGAATTCTTAGCGTTTGTCCTTAACTTAGAGCAATTTCTTTCTCATTATCAATTCACTGTAGTCTTTATTTTTCTGAGAAATGGTCACAGCTAATAGAGTAGCAGGTTAAAATCGCTGATGATTTGCAGATGGTTGTTAGGCCACTGAGTAAAACACAGATACTAAGTGACACTGGTGACACTTTTAGAAGTGAGAAACACTAGGGAACCTTACACTTGCTTTCTCATTTAGATACTTTAATAATACAAGCACTTCATTCTTGCCTGAGGCAACCTTCTTTTATAGTAATGAATGCTTTCATGAAATTACATGTATTACCAAACTTACTCTGTTGCCTCTCCTTCCAGCAGTTATTACGAATGTTGGACACATAATCCTCTTCCACACTCTTTTCCACTTTCTGTAATGACACGCCTTTGTATTCATTTCTAAAGTCCTTGTTGACATAATAAACGACACCCAAGTTTTCTGTCTGCATTTTTATGGTCTGCCCCGTACTTCTACAAAAAAGGAGGGAGCGGGGAGAGAGACTAGTTATTTATTTGATTTTTTTTTTTTTACACCACAAATACACTTTAAAAAAATATTGCTATTACAGAAGAAGAGCACATCACTGTATTTGCCATTTCAAGGCAAGTAATGAAATGAATGGCTGTATAATCTGCCAGAGAATAAAATTACTACATTTATCTGAACATTAAACCTCTGCTGCTTAAACCCGTGATCTTGAAAGAAAAAACCATGTTAGTAAGACACTTCTTTCATATCTCTTTAGTTAAACATAAGCTTTGGTAATAGAAAATTACATTCAAACTCAACAGAAAGAAAAACAGGTCACTATTCTGTAGCAACCCAGTACAGGCATCTCCATTCTAGTGTTTTCTACCAGCCCTGACAAATCCATTTTCCTGCTGGCATTCTGTGGATTAAAAATCAAAGATTGTGCGCAAACATTTTGGCAGAGAAGTGTTTATAAGCCTCACAACAGCTTAGTTGCAGAAGGGAAAAACATCACACCCTGGAAATAAGAGAGGAGAAAAGAAACCTTTCTGTTGTGGGGCTGAGAGCTCTGCAAGGAACTAAGGACCTTTAAAACAGTTATGGCGAGTGTGCTAAGGCTACTAGCTAGTTGCATGCTTGATTAAAGTTATTTATTTCTCTCAAGGAAAAAAGGTTTAAATATCCTACTGTACAAAACAGGTAAGTTTCACTAGTAGAATTCTTTGCAAGAAAATGAAGATAAACTATTTTACCATCACCGAGAATGAAGCAAAGAATAGAGAGTTTCCCCAGCCCTCATCTAGTTCAAAACTTAAATAAGGATGAGCAAGTTGCTTTCAAGCACTTCACTTGCTAGAAGCACAGATGACCCCTAAAAGGAATAATGAGCCCTGGCAGGTTTCAGGATTCGGTTAAATATGATGGAGATGCAAACACCTTTGCAAGATGCTACGTTGCATGGACCCGCTGCCTTGTATTAGAAGACCTCCTAAACTCCAGGTATTGCTGACCTCTTTTCTCCATTACATTCTCACAGCATGTTCTTAGTACTTAACTTTCAAGTTTTGTTCTGCTTTGTCTATACCTTCCCTCCCTTTCCCCACTGTGGGAAATCAAGGACCAGCTAACGGAAGACTCTCTAAAATGCTTCTAAGTGGGAGACACTGATTACAACATCCTCTCTTCTGTTTTAAGCTAATGTAATCAAGCATTACTTACGATCTTGGGTATAAGGCATAAGGAGGGTTAGATACCATCAACTGGCTCAACAAGGAAACAAGGATCAACACAATAATAGGCATCAGCTGAATGAACATGGAGAAACCTCCCTAAGGAACAAAACAGATTCAAGTATTTCATAAAACAGCATCAAGTAAATAGGTAAATTGGACAAAATTTAATGCTAAGCATGACTTTCTGCTTTAACCATCAAAAGCTGCTAGGAAAACTATAACTACAAACCTGCAAACACCGTGATGTTATCTTAACTTTCCAATGCATACACAATATTCATAGAGTGCTCAAGCTGCAAGAGTTCAGGGGTTAGCATGTAGCCACAAGCAATTACCAAATGAATAGCTGGATTCAGTTAACATTATATGCCATGATTTGGTCTCATCTATACAGTGATATGTAATTATACAGGACTATATATAATTCATATAGATGAATATTGAGCCTCAAGTACAATTCTTACCTCAGTCTAAATAAAGTTTTAAATGCAGACAAGGATTAGTGATCAGAATTAGTGGCATATTTAGGCTAATACTACCAGTCACTAGTATGACAGTGACATAGAACAACAGATTTACAAAACCAGGCTATTATCTTCTCAAATTTGCACGTCTATTTACCAATCAGTAAGACTACCACCTGCCAAAGTTTTAAAGTATGTAACTGGCAAGTAGAAATCCTCCTCTACACTACAGAGCTCCTGTGCAGTCACATCACTGAAAGCGACTACCAGCAAATTTCACAATCCACAGTTTAAAGTCAATGGTGCTTAAACATACATCACCCCTCTCTTCCTCCCTCTCATGTCCACTCTGACGGTGCTGATTAGGATGACTGTAGCCAGCACGACCATTAGAAAATGAATGTACACCACCTAAGGAAAGAAATAGCCACATTTAAATCATGAAAAAAAACCCCAAAAAACGATTTAGAGGTCAACACAGAAGCAACAACATAAAGCATTTAACAGTACTGTACAGCGACACATAAAGTAACTCAATTTCAAGATATGTTACAATTTCAAAGTTGTTTAAAATAAATAGTTTAAGCTCCAAGTCAACTGATTTGTTATTTCATGTACTGCAGAATCACCACAGTAACCCCAAAGAACTGAACTCACATTTTGGGGATTCAGCAACACATGCAGATTAAAGAGTTGGGGTCCGAGGCAGGTTGGAGTAATTTTACTGGTTTATAATGTCATAAACTCTAATGCCACTCCGGGCAGTACCACTGTATCCTCATGATTATACTGATATATACCAATACCTGTTGGAAAGGCCCCTCCAAAAAACATGTTGAATAGGTCCTCTGGAGTAATATCTGCCTCACGACCTCTATGGAAGTTGAATCTGCCATTGCTAGGGTGATTGCACGTTTGCTCTTCACTGCCTGTAAGGTCATACTGCTTTCGTTTTTCTGGATTACTCAGCACAGCATACGCATTTCCTATTTCTGAAGCAAGGAATAAAAGACAACTCCCATAAATGAAAGATAAGAGCTATTCCAGCATGAAAATTGCCATTTCAAAGTCAAGAATAGGCAGCAAATTATGTCCTTTACTGTACGTTACAAATCAACTATAGTACAACAAGGTCTAGAAACATCTCTGCTTTTCTTATTATAGCTTCCACAAAGTTTCCCACCAATGCTATTCAAAGGCCTTTTATCCTGTTGACCTGGGCAGAAGGCAAGAGAGCTTTGATCCTTTTTCTAGGGCAACACCTACACCTGTGGAAACATTCTCTCTCACTGCAATTACAAAAAAAGCATCAAGCATTACAATGAAAGCTTTGAAGTGGGGTAATTGCAAAGTTCAGTTTGCTCTAACAGCCTCGCTTAAAAACATCATAGGCTCAGTAGGTTTTCTTTGGTTTCATTTAGTAAGTGGTGGCTTCAAATGCATCAGCTTTATTGTGTACGAGAGTGTGAACGTATTTTTTATACGCTGCTGAAGATATTTTATGGATTACATTAATAACACAAAGTTTTGCATGATGTAACATGAAAAGTACAACATGCACACACAACAGGAACACGTGTGTTCCCAAGCTTGCCAATACAACCTCAATGTTTGGAGTGCCTGGCCTGGATGCCTGTCCCCGTTCACACCACATTGTCACAAATGAACAACTTCAATTTTGACAGTAGTAATGGAAAATTTGAGTTCGGTGAGCATGGAAAGAATCAGTGTGAAAAGATCACAAGCTTTCCTGACTTTACAAGCTTTGACCCTATCTGCTGTACATAGACATACAGCTCTCGCAGACCGAAGGAAAATTTCTGTTGGCACTCGATGAACAATCCACACTCGGTCATATCTTCATTAAACCCTTCCTGCTCTCCTTCTCTCCTCTCCAGGCCTCTCCAACAAAAGGCTGCTTTTGCAGCCAACCAACACAAGCACAAGGCACAGGGATTATGGTTTTTGGTGTCGAGTGCTGTTGTGACCAGCAGGTCGAGGGAGGCGATGATTCTGCCCCTCTGCTCTGCTCTGGTGAGACCCCACCTGGAGTACTACATCCAGCTCTGGGGCCCCCAACGTAAAAAAAGACATGGACCTGGCTGGAGCGAGTCCAGAGGAGGGCCACAAAAACGGTCAGAGGGATGGAGCACCTCTCCTATGAGGACAGGCTGAGAGAGTTGGGGTTGTTCATCCTGGAGAGAAAGCTCCGGGGAGGCCTTGTAGCAGCCTTCCAGTACCTGAAGGGGGCCTACAAGAAAGCTGGAGAGGGACTTTTTACAAGGGCATGTAGTGGCAGGACAAGGGGTAATGGCTACAAACTGGAAGAGGGTAGATTTAGATTGGATATAAGGAAGAATTTCTTCACTCTGAGGGTGGTGAGGCCCTGGCACAGGTTGCCCAGAGAAGCTGTGGATGCCCCGTCCCTGGAAGTGTTCAAGGCCAGGCTGGATGGGGCTTTGAGCAACCTGGTCCAGTGGAAGGTGTCCCTGCCCACGGCAGGGGGGCTGGAACCGTATGATCTTTAAGATCCCTTCCAACCCAAACCATTCTGTGATTTTATGATAAGCCATCAGTCATCAAAAGTTTGTGAAAGGTGCAACACTATAACCTCAACACAGGCAAATAAGACAATGGCTTTGCATAATTAATGTTTTCAACATTATCCAATCTGAAAAAAAACTTAATGAGTCTCAGCTATTTGCCTTTTAAAATGCCCTTAGAAACAACCATTAGCAATCCCTTTAAGTGGAGGAGAAAACCCAAAGAAATGAAGCCTGGTAATTTGCACTGAGAGCATGATACACAGTACTGACACCAAATATTGCTACAAGGTCCCTCTGTTACTCAGCAGGAGGATAAAATTGGTAGTAAAAATTTAGATTTTCCCAACACTTAAGAATTTAGGGAGACATAAATCAGGTGACTGCACATAAAGGGATGATGTCATACTGTCAAAGTACGGTGAGCAATCCTTTTTGACTATTTGTTATTTGCTTTTGATTATTTGATGCTAATTCATGACAGACTTGATTAAAATATAATTTTCTTTAAATAAAGGACATAAAAAATGAAAAAACTGCTCAAAAGTTTCAAAGGAAAGATTTTTGATTAAGTTGGTAAAAGAGATTCTAAGAGATTAAAAGTGATTATATTTGCACAAACTTTTTAAATCTAAAATATAACCTCAGGGAGACTGCTTAATACAACAGAAGAGTAGTACCAGGTAGCTCAAGATCTAAGAAAGTACCGTGCCTAACATCAAACTCAATTCTGTTTTCTAATGTGACCTTTCCTTAAAACAAAGCATTATTATGAAATAATAGCTATTATAATGAAACCCCTTTTCTCAGCTGGATGTTAGAAACTCATCAGACACCTTTAAAGGCAAATTAAATCATAAATTTACTCAGCCATATTAAAAAGACTACAATAATTTCAATGCAAGAAAAATGCTAGGTTTCATTAAATAATTTTTAGTCAACAAGATTCCCCTACAAAATTTTCTGTTCATTTACTCATCTAGTTAAGAACGAGAAAGTGAAATTAAGCCGAAGAAATCAAAATTGTACAAAGTGCTAATGTCAAATAAAAGATTAAACAATAAGAAACTGATTTCTTACATTTTAAATATTATTTAAAATGCTATTAACAAGGAAGAATTATTTTATTCATAGGGCTAGAGACAATTTTGTAAGAATAATCTTTTTTAGATAAAGCCATCACACAGCTGTATTAAAACAATCATTAGCAGTCAACCTTCCTGCTACGTTCTATCTACTTTTCACCTAGAATTGTTAATATATTATTATAATTACCCCTTAAAGTCTGTATCAGAAGTCTTGCTCAGGACTTATTTAAGAGTTTTATCTGATTGATTTTTTTCAAATGTCTGCATGTAGACCTCACACAGGAAAAAATAAAAAATACGTACAATAATCAGATTGTTTATTTATGCATGACTATTTCTTACAGATTCACATTTTTCTTCATCTGTGTCTGAGATGAAGGTGTAGTTTTCTTTAAAAAGCTTTTCGTCAACAATTTTCCTTGTGCAGGGCTAAGCTTGGCAGCCTTAGATCAGGTAAAGTCAGATTGTATATTTTACGTAAGAAATGGTCAAAGGCAACTATTAATAAGGCCGTGTTTGAACCCAAGTATTTTTGTGTGGAAAAAGTAGTAAAACTACACACATACAAGGAATTCTAAGGCACGGGTAACGTAGCGTCACATGTGATTCAGTAAAAAATGCATTTTGCTATCAAGTATTACTTTGTTTTTTTTCAAGCTCAAGTATAGTAAAGATTCAAGGTAGTAAGATTCAAATGACTACATTAAGTTAACAACAGTAAAAAAGTGCAATTGGGTTTAACAGATCAAGTATTTGCTCCCTGTACCTGAAAATTAGTCAATCCTCTGAAACTGAACCCTACTGCAAAATTCCCCATTATTTATCTATGCTTCTAGGTATATGTTAAGATAATAAAGGTCAAATATTTTCTTGGATAAAAATGTCAGTTTAATATTAGCTACAAAACACCACATTGACAATTTTGTAAGAAGTCGAGTGACCAATGCAGATGAATTTCTTTTAATCTGACAAAGTTTAATCATAAAAGAAATTTTGAGTAAAACTGGTATTTTACTTTTAAAAGCCTCTGTTGCTCCAGGTGCATGGTTTTTGTCTGGGTGGAATTTCAAAGCAAGTTTCCTATAAGCCTTCTTTAGGTCTTCTTCACCGGCATCCTTTGACACCCCAAGGACTTCATAATAATTTTTACATTTCTTTATACTGCAAAAGAAAATGAAGTAAAATGTTGTAAACAAAAAGACGTAGAAGTAGGATGTTAGAACACAGCTGCAAATGAGGTAATACATTGCACTGATGCAATACACTACATCTCTCACTTCCAATATAAAATATAAAAAAAATTCCACTCTAGAAACAAAGAATGCCATTTTTCATAATAAACTCACTATTGAGCACAATAAACTATTGTACTCAAAATTACTACATACATTTATTTTACTACTTCTACTGTAGAACCACTACAGTTTTAAGAAAATGTTTCAGTTTGCAATTACTGTAGCATTTCCTCATCCCCAATTATATGAATATTGCTGTTAATAACGCATAAAATGAAGATTCCAAATTTACTTCACAGAGCTAGCAGGTAGGAAGGCCTGTTTAGACTGTCAACAGCAAATGCACTTTGGCATGCATGATAAAAACCAAAACAAACAATACCTCCCTTTCTCCAAACAAAAGTCAAGTCATAACACCATTCCAGCATTCACTTTTCAGGGAAATAAGGCACATGAAAATACCTCTGCTGCTGGGAATGCACCTGGATCTTAACAAACTTTCTGTAAGTGTTTATATAAATTCAAAGAAACAATAACAGCTCCAGCAATTACAGATTCAGCTCATCTCCTATGTTCAATATAGCATTTTTTTAAAGCTCTGAAAACTCAGAAATATTCTTCCTGTAGGCAGTCTCACCCAGACAGGAGAAGCAAAACCTGGAAATGATGTAATGATTTGGTATGCTTTACAATACTCTGAAGAGAGAAAGAGCAGCTACAGGGGACAGAGAGAACGTTAATTTTATGTGGGCAGGAAGAACTGACCAAACCAATAACTACACCTTAAAATCAAACCAAGTTACTTGGGTAAGAATTCAGAAACTTAGAAAAACAAGGCCGAATCAGAAACTTGCATTGCAGAAATGAGGCACAGTGACATCTGGTGCATACCAAAAGAAAAGGGCTGGTCTGAGCAAGAAATAGAAATTATATCCATAAATATTTTAAAAGCTTCGTGTGAGTCTCTTCACACAGCTGCAACTGTGTCCACATTCTCTTAAACGCACAGATTTCTACCTAAATATGGGTTTAGTGTTACAAAGACTATACACAGGGCAGCCAAGTGGAAAAAAAGGGGGTAAGCAAGCCTTTGGCATTTTCATGAAAGAAGAATGGGTACCCTATAATTAAGGGAATGGTAGCATCAGAAGCATAACCACACCGTCGTGTGTGGCCCTTCATAGTTCACAGATTGATCAAATCAAGTTTCATTTGAGGGATCCCTTTTCCTGTGTTCAAACAACATTAGCTTTTATGGAAGTCTCAGTGTAATGCTCACAAGAGCACCGAATTGAATATATGCAGGCAGCTGCCAACACGAGCATCCTGTGAAATAAATATAGCTCATTATATTGAAACAAATATAGCTCATTATATTGAAGTAACATTTAATAAGCTCCAGTTAGGAAGCTGATAAAGCTAACTAAAAAGAACACAGCTAATCCATCATCAAGAAAGAATGGAAAGAAAATACATTAAATTACACTCTGAATACTGGAAACTTTTGTTAATTTGTACAATAAGAAAAAAATCTGGTAGTGTACAGATCCCTTCATCCTTAGCCTCAAGTCCTGGATTACTTATGAACCGTATCAAGAACGGATAGCTTTATTTAAAAGTGTAACAGTATCAAATTAAGCTTTTATTTAAAGAAATTGCTATCTCGGCATCCAATCTAAATTCTTCTCTTCAATAATTCAGTATCTGAATTATCTGTTTGTAGACCAGGCTCTTCAGAACCTCGGTTGATATAAAATTAGGTAGTGAGTCATCAATGTTTAGCAAAGTTGTTATTTTATTAGCATTAAAACTGTAGTGCTAAATGTTTGTTCAAGTGTTTTTAAGCACCGTGCATCCTCAACAACTTTTTCCCGTAACAGCATATGTTCATTTCTCATGGAAGTAACAAATGTGAAAAAAAAAAAAAACCCATGGAAGTTTACTTCTTTGCAGACCTGATATGCATTTATTTCACAACTCTAGGATGCAGAGAGGAGAAAAATGGGGGTGGGGGGAAACGAACAACCCAAGAAATGCCAAACTGTTCTTCTAATCCTCAAAAACTCACTCCAGAGTTTCTTCCCATTCACAACCAGTGAAAGTCCCCCAGTTGGAAACTCTCATGAGAAAAGCAGGACGTGGGTATCATTGTATCATCAGAAGACGTTCAGGTCAGCACATGACCCACCAGCTTCTGACACCACGATCAGCTTAGAGGCAGTGCATCACACCAGAGCTAGCTCCTGATGAGAAAGTGCAGGGATGAATGCAACCACCCTCCATGCAACAGCTACCCTGAACCTGGTCCACAAATGAGCTGTGGTTATTTATCAAGAAACAAGCGTTCAGCCAAGGTATAACTCATTTCTGCTTTCTCTTAGCACGTCTTTGCTAGTGCTAGTTAAACAAAAAATTCTACAAATATACAAGCATCTCTGTTCCAACATTCCTGATTTTCTATGAAGGTATGATTTAATATTTCAAGCACATCTTGTATCAATCACCCTCATACCCTGACCTGCTACCCAAGGCTAAATGGCTAGTTGCAAACAAAGAAACCTTTGTGAATTTGTGACAGCCACCCCGACTTTTATTCTCCCTTGCGTGTTCTTGTCAGGACGGGTACGCTCGCAGCAACACCACCTGCTACAGACCTGCAACCGATCCTCCAGATCATTTACACTGCACAGGATCAACGCTGAGATACAAAAAACCCTGTTCACTGTTTAGCCTGTTGTCGTCTTCAGATCTCAAAGTCGGTGTTGGCTCTCAAACCTCAGCAACAAACATAAGCCACAAGTACTGTGCCGGATAGCCTGAGGAGCACCGCCGCATGTGACTTCATGGTGAATCACGTGGAATATACATACACATATGGCAATTTCGCAGAGTTTAGCAGGACTTTGGATTAGGCAGATCAAGCTTTAAAGCTAAAATACATTAAGTGATTGTACAAATGCACAGGGGCCAAAAACCATACCTAAGCCTGGAATTCTCAGCAATGACCTTGTGCTATGAAGCCCTTGCTACACCCTGCCATTAGACAACAGTTTTATCCGATTGCTTTGCCACTTCAAGGCAAAAAGCATCTGGACTGTAAGCAGCTAGCATCTAGCTAATGCAAAGTTTCCTACAGGGAGGGAGTTAGTGACTTCTGCCAGGAGGTCCCTTACTGAGCACAATTCAGGGCAATCATTACAGGGTATTGGCTCAGTTTTTCCCCCCTCAGCAAAGTCCATGTGAGTTTTGCACCAAAACTTGTACTGCAGCAGCTTTGTACTGGGGATGATTGGGCAAGCAAACATGATTAGAAGGTGCTTTCCAATTAAACAGAATTATCAGCGTTTGTGGTGCACTCCTGAGAGGCAAAACTTCAACGCATCACAAACTCAACCTGGTAAGTCAGTTTATAGCAGGACAAACCGTACAGGATCACCAGGGCAACCCACCAGATCCTCAGGTCACGCATGTGCTGTGCAGTCACCAGGCTTCTCAAACACTGTTGGAGCACATACCACATCCCTCCTCCACCTTAAAGACATGAGGATCAGGGGCTTTGCACAGAGATTCTCCAAGACTTAAGTCCTCTTCTTCCAAACTACCACTGTCCTGATGAGAAATTTCTCTCCAGCTGCTGGGAGCTGTTGGAAGCCACGGCCAACCTGATCCTTGTCCCTCAGCAGAAGCAGTCCTTTTTGGACATATTCCTCACTCCTTGTCTCTAGTAGACTGATGTCTGACAATCCTCACTCTGCCAGAATCCCTCACGTGGAGCATTGAACTGTCCTGGGGAGACTTCTCACGGGAGGATAGCTGGACGGAAGGAACCATCCCCTTCCCACTTCTCTCCTATTGCGGGCCACACATCAGCCAGCAGAGGCTGGGAAAAATTAAGAGTAAAATCAGTGGAGATGTTGGAAAAGACCGATCACTGATGTTACTTATGGCTTTTAACTGCATCTGAAACCCCTGTCCTGCAGCATCCTTAGCATGAACAACTAACCTTCTGAAAGCTGCGTTTCAAATTGTCATTTTTTTGGTTTTGCTGCACTTAAGGCACTGTAGTCCCTAGTGCTAATTTTCTTGCATATGTAAACTCCACACAGATGCTTCTTTTTAAAATTGCAATTTACATATCACTTGCTTATGGACTGCCCCTTTTGTATAGAATTGGGTTTTTTGTTGTTTATTTCTGGCTTATTTGAAGTCTGGTGCTTTCACTGTTAATTTGTTTGGGGTTCTGTTTTTTACGAATTGCTTTTCTTGTGTTTTTCCATTCCTGGTTGGATCACTTCTGTATCTGAATTATTATCAAATTATTTCTGTTGTTCAGCCAATTTCTGTCCTTGCTGAATTGTTAGCCCCCTGCCAGCACCTTGGCACTGTCCTTCCGGTTAACAGATTTGCGGGCTGTTTTAGGAGGGCACATTGCTGGATGTTCCTGAAATAATATAGAGAATATTAGAGAATAGACTTCTTTAGGCTCTTTTAGAGAATAGACTTCTCAAACAGCATGAGGGCAAGCGATGGCCTACATTCATCCACAATCTGTTGACAGAGGTATCTCGTCATGACTTGCAAAGCTCCACTACCCCAACGTGCAGCTGACAAGCCACCTGCAGCAGAACTGGTCAGCCAGCTTCAAACTGCAGCAACAGCCAATTCTGCCTGACGCTGGGCTCCTCTGCACGCTCTGACGGCTGAAGGCAGAGGAAGCCCTTCAGGTCCTGAAATGTCTGCTCTCACCTGCAGAAGTTCTGGGGCTACCACCACTGGTTCTCCTGTGACTATGAAATGATGTGATCCTACTGCTGTGCTTCTTGTTTCACTTTTCAAATCTACAATTCAGATTAGGTCAACATCAACAGCTTTTATCAGGTTAACAAAACCTATCAGAGATGCTTGCATTTCTGTATCAAATACCTG